GGGGGGGGACGGACCTTTAATGGTTTCTTGCACCGGAGCCCTGAGGTTTCTAGTTACGCCTCTGCTCATGTACCTTTTCAGGCGTAGGCTGTTTTGTCGTGCGTTTCAGACGGGCTGAGGTGTGAACCATACCCATAGAAAACAATGGGATTTTCATGTTTGAGCGTTTTGTAGAGCATTCGTAGATTGTTGAACGCGCTACAAAACGTACAGGTGTGAACCAGGCCTTAGAGAGTCAGAGTGTCTCAGAAGTAAAGATGGGCAGAGGTTCACCAATTTGTGTCTAAATATTGTCAAACAATTTAAGAATAATGTTCCTCAATGTAAAATTGCAAAAAATATATATATATCACCATCTAGAGTACATAATATCATCAAAATACTCCAGAGAATCTGGAGAAATCTGTGCGCAAGGGATAAGGCCGAGCAAAACAAATGACAAACGCACTCAACAATTCGTCACCAGCTATACAGTAAGGTGCACACGAAATGGGCTTTGAACAGTAAAACAGTAGAAAGGTATCATGGCACACTCACAAGCCAGCATGTAAAAAAACTTGTCTCACCACTAAGGTTAATAACAGAGGTTTGGATACACCTCTTCTGCAGAAAATGTGAAAGCCGCACAGCCGTGCCAAGGCACCTCTTATAGTGCGGTCTTAACTCTAAACTATGAGAGTCTCCATCTTGGAGCACATGGGGGCAGAAGATTTCAAATTGGGTGCAGGTTTGTCAGGAGGAAGCCCATCCTCCTTAAAGGCACAGGGACACACAAGGGATCCCGCACATCCCAATGGCAGCTGAGAACCCCCATGCGTCACTGCACCAAATCGGTCAAGCAAAACAAATGACAAACGCACTCAACAATTCATCACCAGGGATAAGGCTGAAACGCAATATTGGATGCCTGTGATCTTTGGCCTGTGATCTTTGGGCCCTCAGATGGCAGTGTATTAAAAACAGGCATTATTCTGTGAAGGACATCACTAAATGGGCTCAGAAATATTTACAAAAATCATTGTCTGTAAACACAGTTTGTCATGCCATCCAAAAATGCAAGTTAAAGCTCTATCATGCAAAGAAGTCATATCTAAACATGATCCAGAAACGTTGCCATCTTCTCTGGGCCAAAGCTCATTTAAAATGGTCTACCACGGAGTGGAAAACTGTTCTGTGGTCAGACGAATCGAAATTTTACATTCATTTTGGCAACCTTGGATGCCACGTCCTCCAGATGAAGAGGAGAGGGACCTTCTGGCTTGTTTTCAGCGCTCAGTTCAAAAGCATGCATCTCTGATGATATGGGGGTGGATTAGTGTGTATGGAATGGGCAGGTTGCACATCTGAAACGGCGGCATCAATGCTGAAATATATATCTGGGTTTTAGAGCAGCATATGCTCCCATCCAGATGACGTCTTTTTTAGGGAAGGCCTTTTATTTTTCAGCAGGACAATGCTAAACCGCATTAGATGCATGGCTTCATAGTAAAAGAGTCCAGGTGCTTAACTGGCCTGCCTGCAGTCCCGACCTTTCACCAATTACAACATTTGGATGCATCCTGAAACCAAAAATATGACAAAGAAGACCCAGGACTGTTGAGCAGTTAATATCCTATATCAGGCAAGAATGAGACAACATTCCTCTCCCATATCTCCAGCAACTGGTCTCCTCAGTTCCCAGAAGTTTGCAGTGTTGTTAAAAGAAGAGGGGATGCTACACCGCAGTAAACATAGCCCTGTCCCAACTTTTTGAGACGTGTTGCTGCCATCAATTTCAAAATTACCTTTTTTTTTTTTCTTAAAATGGTACATTTTCTCAGTTTAAACATTCAATGTGTTTTTTTCTTTCTCTTGTGAATTAAATATGGGTTTATAAGATTTGCAAATCATAGTGTTCTGTTTTTATGTAGCTTTTACACAGCGTCTCAACTTTTTGGAAATTGGGATTGTATATATAAATACAATACATCAATGTGAATCTAGTTTATACAAATGATGTTGTATTAATATCAGAACAAGTCTTCAAACCTTTAATGTTTGGTTCTTGCTTCATGTTATACTCATCTGGAACAATAGGGGGAGCTTGAGCTTCAGCTTTGGGAATATTCTCTTCTTGTTTCTTCAATGTATCTTTTCCAGATGATGGTTTTCCATTGGTTAGTTTTTCTTGCTCCAGAGTGAGTCTGGCACTTGTTATATCTAAGTAAAGGCATATGATTTATCAACAGCTTTTGTGTATAAAGTACACGATCACACAAAAACAGGACATTTAGATGAGTCCATGCACAGTTCCAAATACTAATAGCCAAATAAAATCCAGACAACAATAAATGCACCCCACTGTGTCTGTCCTCTAAATGTAATGCTTTCTGTTTTTTGAGAAAGGATTTACACTCAGTTGAGTTGGAATTAGATATTCATAAGGCAGTGCAAACTTTGGATTTTCTGTATGCAATTTAAGTAAAATTCCAACCAAAACATTTTTCCTGTCAGCTCCATGGCAGCACACGAATGGGTTAATCCCTCCCTCCTCCCCCTAATCAGTATTGTAACTCATAAAAGCTGAAAGGGTCCCCTGGCTTGCCGTTCCTTTTTTTTCCTCCTACATGTCAGGATCAGAGCAGTGTGCCTACCTAGCAGGGATAAAGTTCTTGCTGTCTGCCTTCTTCTACCTCCTTGAGTTGGCGAAGTCCCTCTGAGCCCTTTCCTAAATGGTGCAGGTCCATGGGAGCCCCGCTGGCGATCCTCGGGGCCTGGCTAACAAGGTGTAAGTACACTGCTGTTGCTCATTATTGGTGGAGGAGATATTCCTACTTGGTCTGGGCGCCTAAAGGTGCCCATACACCTTACAGTTATCTGGAGAATTTTTGTCTTTCAGCAGAAAATGTTTGTCTATTTGGATGACAATTGACAGGTTAATGGCGTGGTTGTACAATACAAATCTCTAGATGCAAACTGCACATGCTCAAACTACATTGGTCTGTGCATGATGGATTAGTTGTAAGAAAATTGTATGAAGGTGAGATGTCTGCACAACAAACGTTGTACAATGGTTGTGGGTTGTATGGCCACCTTTAAATATGTGATTCTGTGGTGCTGCTAGTCCGGGCCCTTCTAGAGCTGGCACCCCCATCCGCAGTCGGGAGTCCTCCGGACCCCATTCTGATTCTCCCTCTTCAGATGAAGAATGTATCTAAGATGAATGGAGTCAGGTGAATGGGAAGTATTCCTTTAGAGATAGAGGGGGTGATTTACTAACCTAAACACACGCACGCACCAGGTGCGTGTGATTTTCACACAGCAAAACGTATTTATCAACCAAAAAGTCTCTAAAAGCATATTTCCACTAATGCCATATATGGAAAAATCATGCACATGATGCATATATAATGCTGCTTCACAGTTTAGACAAAAATGGTTAGCTCATGCATTTACATTCCTGCATTCATCAACGCAAGCAACACAACGTAGAGCTAATTTACACAACATCACCTTGCAATTCATGCAGGGCTTTGCACAACACACCTGCTGGGTGTGTACACACTACAAAGATGTTTAGATTCCACCCATAGATCATGCTGGGAGGGAACACACTACAGAGGTGTATACATGTTCGTGGTGTGTTTATAAGGTTAGTAAATCAACCCCAGATTCTCTAAGCTGTATCCTTTTAAGAAAGAGGATCTTAAACACTCAGATGAATCGCCTGTCGTTAATGTGGCCTTAATGAGGCTGGCAAGGCATGTCACGCTGCCCCTTGGTGACACTGTTACCCTTAAGGATGTCTTGGACAAATGGGAAGATTTGGATCTTAAAAAGATCTATCTTTTGGCCGGCGGGCCCTGCAAACCTGCAGTTGCTATGGCAGTACCTTCCAAGGCCGTGGAGGCTTGGGGGGGACAGCGCTGAAGCAGCAGTTTGAGGATCTTAGTAAATCTGAGATCTTAGACCGCTTAAAGAATATCTGATTGTCTTCTACATTCTTCACAGAGGTTCGGTCAATGTAAAATTTTAGCCAGAGTTCCGTGGGTGGCGGATCCCACATCCAAGCAGGGGTGATGTAATTCCATTTGAGGGTCAGTTGCTACTCTACAACAAACTAGACACCGCAACAGCAAAGGCCACTGGAGGTAAGTCATAGGGTGCATTGCATACGGTGCAGTGTCTCTTCCCCAGAAGAGGTTCCAGGCGCAAAGCAGTGCCTCTCGGTTGCCCTATCTCACGATCTACTGTTAGTACCTGATTGTCTTCAGATTGTCGGGTCCATGGTGTCAACGATTCCTGCGGTCCTGTGGGCCCAATGGCTTGTTTCTTTCAGACCGGATTCTTGCGGCCAGTAGAAGCCGGAAAGTCTCCACCAACTCATTCAGATGTCTCCCCAATGCGAAGCAGCCTGGGGTGGTGGTTCATGGACTGCAACCTACTAGGCTGTCAGTCACTCCTTACCACGTGGACGGTGAATTCCTCAGATGCCAGCGAATGAAGTTGGGGTGCCGTCTGTCTGAGCGAGGGTGCTCTGTGCCACTGGTCCTTTCCTGCAGTAGGGGTTGTCTCCAATGTCCTGGAGTTGAGGGCAGTGTTTCAGGCGCTATTGGCCTTCCAGCGATTTATCCTGGGGAAGTCAGTTCTGTTGAAAATCGACAATACCTCAGCGGTGGCTTGTATCAGGAGCCAAGGGCTGCACCCAGTTGTGCCCTGCTGGAAGACGTCTCTCCTATTATGACCCGGGCTCAGATCCATCTTCACTTATCGGCAGTGTACGTGTCCCCTCAATCACAAAGCACATTATCTATCCAGAGTTCCTCTGGACAACGACGAGTAGTGCCTCCTCAATCAAGTATTTCAGGACAAGGGGTCATGGGGCTTAACTCCGGAAGTAGACCTATTTTTGTCCCGAACCAACACTGAAGTCGTGAAGTTCTTCTCGAAGTTTCCATGTGCACAAGCGGTTGCGACGGACGCCCTGGCAACAGAATGGACATTCAGACGGCTTGCGCCTTCCCGCCAGTGCCTTTTCATACTAAAATTTCTGAGGAGACTCCGGAGAGAATAGGTGGCTGTCCTGGCAGTGATTCCGAACCGGCCCAAGGGGCCTTGATATCCTCTCCTCCGCCTGATGGGTATCCAGCCTCCACTATTCCTACCGACATTGCCCGACCTTCTTTCAAGGTCCGATCCTTCACCCAGCACCTGTGAAACTTTGCCTAGCAGCATGGATATTGAGAGGCGGAGATTTCTCACATTGGGTTGCTTAGATAGGGTAAGCCCAGTACTACTCGTCCTCACATTAAACGCTGCCTTTCTAGTTGCTATTGCCTCCACCAGATGGGTTTTGGAGTTGGCCGCTCTTGGGTTTAAAGAACACTTCCCCACTTTCCTGACAGATGGAGTGATACTAGTTCCCATGCTGAGGTTCATTCCCAAGGTTGTGACTGACTTTCACATAAACCCAGAAATTGTATTACCAACCTTCAAGTCAGATGATGGGAGCCAGATTAGCCGCTTGGACGTAGGTAATACGCTAAAAGCGTATATTTTGGCCACAGAAGGGCTCAGGTCTACGGGTCATCTCTATCGTTCCGGCAGGTGCCAGAAAGGATGCTACAGCATCCAGAAGGCTCATAGCATCCTGGATAGGGAAGGTGCTATTGTTAGCATATGAGGCCGAGCACATAACTGTCCCAAGTGGGGTGTCTGCTCATTCCACTAGGAGTCTGGCCACATCATGGGCTGCACCCAATCGTGTTTCCTTAGAGACTGTGTGTAAAGCGGCCACACGGTCTTCTCCGCACACGTTCATGACACACTACTGTGTAGATCCAGCTGCCTTAACTAAGGTTGAATTCGGCCGTAGGGTTATTTCTTCTACCATGCGTTGTGATTAAAAAAATTTCAAGCATACCCACCCCTGTTTTTGGCTAGTTAATTCCCATTTGTGTGCTTCCATGGAGCTGACGGGAAAACAGGAAAATTGTATTTCATATTTACCGTAATTTTCCTTTCCTGTCCAGCTCCATGGCAGCACAAGGCCCACCCGTATAGTAGTAGAGTTACAGAACGGCAAGCCAGGGGACTCTTTCAGCTTTTATGAGTTACAATCCTGATTAGGGGGATGAGGGAGAGATTAACCCATTCGTGTGCTGCCATGGAGCTGGACAGGAAAGGAAAATTAAGGTAAATATGAAATACTTGGGTCCTTGGTTTGGATTCCAACCAGGACACTACTTACATGGATTTTGCATGTTCTCCATGTGCATGTGTGGGTTTCCTGCAGGTACTCTGCTTTCCTCCAACGTTTAAAGACAAGCGTATAGGTAAATTGTCCCTACTATGTGTGATAGGGACCTCGGATTGTAAGCTCCTTAAAGGCAGGGACTGAGGTGAATGTACAAAAGGCGTTGTGTTAATTGTCGGTGCTAAATAAATACCTGTAATAAATAATGTGAGTATGCTTCAGGGCTGGGGAAAGCAGATTATAACCAAAACGTTTTAAATGTGAATTTGAGTATAGTGGGTAGGGATTAGAACTCTCTGCCTGGGTTCCCACTGGGAAGATTTCCACATACTTCCTATCTTGGTGATCACCAATACAGGAATAAAGACGAAACCCTTCCAAACCCTAACAGAGGTTTCATCTTTTCCCACTCTACCGAGTGATTTTAAATTCTAGTTTGTGTTCCACTCTAAACTCAGCTCATGACTAGGGAATGGTGCCTTGCAGATGCCCATATTATCAACATGCAGACCCATCGACGTCAACGGACTCCTCCCTCCTTCCCTTCGTTACCCATCACGGACAACTACATCACCCGACTCCTCCCCCCTTCCCTTCGTTAGCCGACAGAGCCACTCGGGGAGGGGGAGAGGAGTCTGGTGACGTCGATGTCCGTGACGTCACCGGATCTCCGACGGAAGACCCGGAAGCCGGCGGAGAGGTGAGTACTTTGATCGATCAAAATAATTTTGATCGATCAAAGAAATTAACGATTAATCGACGGATTAATCGTTAATTTCCGCACCCCTAATTAATAGGTTCCTCTCTGATATAAACACCTAGCCAGTGTGCAGTGTGGTTCACATGTAAATGGTGTCTGCTATTTAACTCCGCTCCCTTTACTGCAAAAAATGCAGAACAGAGAAAGGTGGGCAATGAATGACCAATCTACCTATACATGCCTGGGTAATTGTTTATTGCCCCAGGTGTCACTGCAACATTAACACAAATGAAAATAGAATGTTCCCCACCTGACTCGGACTGGGACATCTTGTTGATAGCTGTATCTGTGTTCTTGATTGGCTGTGGAACAAATGATAAATCACCAGGAATTAAAATTAGTTAGTCCTACAGACTTTTTTTAAGAAGCCAAAGAAAGTTGTGTAATTCCCAGTAACAAATTGGCATTCTTCCTCCACATCACTCTACCACTACTGATGTTCCAAAAAGAGGGGGTGTGTTTAAGGGAGAGCATTATATGCAACTTACCTTTCCTGTTTAAAGAGGAACTTTTCCCTTATCCCCTCTTACCTGTTATGCTGGGCACTCACCAGAAAATATACTCTCCTGCCCAGAAAATCCAGCATTGTCCTGCTGTGATACATCAATCTGCTGCCTCAGCCATGGCCCTGCATCGCCATCTTTTTCAGTGACATTATTAGGTGCCAGCTGCCTCCTCTGGGTTCTGATGATGTACGGTCAGCTCTGTCCCCTGGCCACTATGAGTCTTTGCTCTTGAGGCCTCCTGTGCTATGTGACAGGGATATCCCAGGAAGCCGCAGGAGCAAGACACATCATTCTCTACAAGGTTTCTGTTGGGTTGGCCAAAAAAAGTAAACAGGAAATCCCCCCACTGTTTTATATATGAGAGTGCATTGCAGAGAGCTAAACTGGACTTGGGCACTAAAGGTCTGCTTTATAGTAATATGTTGTTTTTAATCAAAGCTTCCCATGTCTTTACTGCAAGACGTCCCCAGGATAAGTGAACAAAAGATCTACAATGTTTCCATACAAAAGATTATAGCATGGGAACTGAAACATGAGAAACATCTCAGTACTGACTTTTTTTTTTTTACATCAGGATTTCTGTGTCTGAGAGGCAGCAACGAGAGTGTTTCATGATCACTAGCTTGTATACTGCAGGATCACTAGATTACAAACACAAAGGACTCGGGTAGATTGGTGTAGTACAACAATGTGTGGATGAAAACCTAAAGTCGGGTATACACAGTTATATTTTCTGCATTCGATCTGTGGGCTGAACAAAGAACAGATTCCTCCAACCATACGGAACAGCGTAGATGGATGAATCTTCCGCTGGCTGCTGTCAGAATACCCGAACGTTGCTTGCACAGCTGATTCGCTGCAAGCGCCGTTTAGCTGAAAATTATCCAACATGTTCCTTTGACAACAGATAATCTAACAATCAACTTCTGCTGATGGAACATGGTTACCACCGCAGCAAATTTCGCTCCATGTGTACCCTACTTAACAAGTAAGTAAGCAGGTTGTGTCAAAGTTTAATTTTTAATTTTGAATGGAGTATACATTTAACCGTAATAAGCAGAAGACCAATTGGCAGGACCCCTCTTTGGATTGTCTTTTAAGCCTTTTAGAAATCGTCTATTTTATTGGAAAAAAAAATATTTTAACCAGTTAGGAATGTAGGTAGTACCTCATACACCCTAGTGTTCTTCCCACTTGTTTGACATGCAAGTCTATAAGCAGCAAATCTAACACTGATTTTCAGAAATTAAGATTTCTGCTTAGTGCTTGTTAAAACGTAAGCAAAAAGTAAGATGCCTATTTTTTGAAGGGTCGGTAAGAGAAAGAACCTCTCAAGTTTTTATAGCTATCTCTGTCCTCACTAAGGCGATTCCCATTACTTCCAGTCCTTGTGACAGAAATTAAAAGCTTGACACTGTTCATTACTTTGTTAGTTTTGGGTGAACAGTTCACACTGGGGACAGGTAAGTTGTACATAATGCTCACACAATAATGATGCAAACAGTAATGAGTCCAATGCAAAATCTGTACATCTACAATTTAAATATGGGGGAAATCTTTGGCAGAGCAGATTTTTAGATTTTTGTTCATCTGCATTCTCTAATAGCAACAATAGAATGATGCAGAATTAGTAAGGGATATATAAATGAATAAAAAAAAATAAATGTCATGTTAAAATACATTCTGTTACGGTATTTATGAAAATGCACATGAGTGTAACAAAAAAGTTAATTTAGGAAAAAAGTTAATTCAATATATCAGGTTGCATACCTGGGTGGAGACTTCTGACACTTTTTTGACTGTTGTATTTCTCCCAGGAGCGTCTGTGGATATCTGCTGAAATATTAGTTTGTTAGTACAATATAGTTTATTAAATTAAACTGGACAATGTTTTCAAAAGTTTTGCTTCCTGAAAAACGTTTGGTGATTATGATAGATCCCTTCAAGCTGAACCCAAACATAATTTCAGAATGACTGTATCATGTAGGAATCAAGAAATATGACATTAACTATTAATTAATTTAACATGTTGAATGGCATAATGTTAATTTATATATAATGCATAATTTCAGAGAAGTAGCACAATTTTAGGACTAAAAGTGTTTTGCTGCTGATTTAGGTTTGCAATGTCCAGTGTATCTTGTTGCAGTGTCCAACAATAGTCAGCTAGCATTGATGGATTCCAGTTGCCCTGATATTATTTTTCCATTGTGGCAGGGGCGTAACTAGAAATCACAGGGCCCCATAGCAAAGTTTTGCATGGGCCCCCCCCCCAACTACAAACCCCCTGATCAAAAAAAAAGAGTAATGCCAATGACTGAAGGGATTGCATACACAAAGTCTCCTTGCGTTCTGGGGTGGGAGGGGACCTGGCAGTGCCATTCATGTCAATGGAACTGCAGACAAACCCGGCCTGCAAAAAATTGTGCATGCACAATATTTGTGATTGCACCACACTTGAACGCAGGGCAATGTATCACCATGCGTTCTGGTGCAGCTGATGACCTGAATGGCACTGCCAGGCCCCCTCCTACCCCAGAACGCAAGGAGACTTTGTGTATACGATCCCTTGCATTATGGACAAGGGTGTAAACAAGCCTTTAAAATTACAGGAGTCAGAAGAGCCACAGTGTAAATAAAAAACAATTACAGCAATGTATGTCAAGGTATAAAAGGGTTTTAGTGCTTATTCACACCAATTACATTGCGTTACGGAGAGGTAGCTGCTGAAACACACACTAAACTTCCCCCTGCATTCGGGGTCAGGAGGGGGGTGGCGGTGCATTGAAGACAATGGCACCACAGCCAGTGCGATTGCAAAAAATGCTGCATGCACTATTTTTTGGTGATCGCACTGGACCGGAACACAGGCATTGTTTTGCCATGCATTCCAGTGCAGGCGATCACACTGCGGGCAGGGGACTTCAATGCACCGCTACACCCCCTCCCACCTCAGAACACAGGGAGGCGTTTAGTGTGCGATACAGTGCGTTCCTGCAACAACCGCTCTGGAATGCACTGTAATTGGTGTGAGCAAGCCCTTAGGGGACAGAGAGCAGGGACAGTACTGCTGGACAATTGACAGGCACAGCACAGCAATGAATTACCCAGGCAGCATGTAGCATACAAGAAAGCCCAGGTGTCTACTGGCTAAGAAAGCCAGCAGACACCTGAGAAGTCTTATTAGAGCACCATACAGCAAAAGGGCCAGCACAATGCTTGAACTTCAAGCCCCATGACCTGACCAGCTGACTGCAGATGTCTCCCTACCTCTGTCCCCTCCTCAATCTCCTCTGTGTCCCCGATTTCCGTCCGCCACGATCTCCCCTCCAAACCACGCCCACTCCTCTTTTTAACCAATCCAGAGAAGGCAGCAGGAGTGGAACCCCACCCATTCGGCTGGACCCGGGAGGATTGTAAGCCATGCTCCTCACCGGGCCCCCTCTGTCGCGGGCCCCATAGCGCCCGCATGGGTCGCTATGGCGGTAGTTCCGCCATTGCATTGTGGCAAAGTCCTGGTGAGACTGTTCTCCATGCTCGTCACTCACAGCACCTAGTTTTTAAGGAAAAAAGTCCAAGTGTGAATGCAGAAAGTGAATCTTTAGTGACATACTGCACTTCATGGTCTTGTATGCTGTATTAGGTTTGTCAACCAGCTGAATGTATTTTGGTGCTTTGTAGTTGCCAAGACCATTCTCAACAACATCCTTGAATACTTTCCAGGCCATTTCCTCTGGTCCCACTAACAAATCTTCGAACCGATTGTCATTGATGACATATCTGATCTGTGGACAACCAAAAATACCTTCCTTAATCTTGGCATCCGTTACCCTTGGAAACATTTGTCTAAAATAATAAAAAACCTTCCCCTTCTTTGTTCATTACTTGCACAAAATGTTTCATCTGTCTGAGAAGCGGAGGCACAAATATCTTTGTTGGGTCCACAAGTGGATTTCATGCCACATATTTCTGCCCTAGAACCAAATTCTTTTGGAGTGGCCATTCCTTTTCAATGTAATGCAACTTTTGTGCACGGCTGCCCCATTTGCAGATGAAACAGCAGGAATTGGTATATCCAAGCTGCATTGCAAGCAGCGGAGCCACTACTTTTAGATCTCCACAGATATTCCAGTTAAACTTGGTGTACTGGATGTGCTTCATCAGCAGTTCTATATTTTCATATGTTTCCTTCATGTGTGCAGCATACCTAACAGGTATTGAAGGGTGCTGTTGTTAAGAAGACAACCTTGAGGCTTAATAGTGATGAATCAATAAAGAGAAGGCATTTTAGTTTGTCATGCTCACAGCCAAAAACCCCCAATGTTGTCTACCTGTCAAAGAAATGTTTAAAATCATCTTGGCAGCTTCGAAAGACAGACATTTTCATACCTGGTGATAGCAAACACAATCCTTGCAGTCTTGAACCCAGTAGTTCTGCTTTTGATTTTGACAAACCCAAGTCTCTGACCGCATCATGTCCCTTTCCATGTTCCAAATTCCATATTCTAAATTCCATGTTGCATTTTTCCAATTTCAAATTCTGAATTCCAAATTACATATTTACGAACTCCATATTGCAAATTCTATAATCCAAAGTCCGAAATTCAAATTCCGAATTGCATATTCCCAATTCCGCATTCCAAATTCTGTATTTGAAATTCCATATTATAAATTCCATATTCCAATTCTAAATTCTGAAATTCATATTCTGTATTCTAAACTCCGTATTCCATATTTCGAAATCCATATTCCGAATTCCGTATTACGAATTCCATATTCCAGAATTCCAAATTCTGTTTTCCGTATTCCAAATGACGAATTCCATGTTCCGTATTCCAAAATTCCATATTAGAAATTCTGAAATCCATATTCCGAGTTCCAAATTCCGTATTCCATATTCCAGAATTCCAAATTCCGTATTCCGAATTCTGTATTCCGTATTCCAAATTCCACATTCCTAATTCTGTATTCCAAATGTCGAATTCCAAATTCCATATTCTGAATTCCATATTCCATTTACCAAACTACAAATTCTGTATTCTGCATTCCATTTCCGTAATCCAAATTCCATATTCTGTATTCCGAATTGCAAAATTTTGTATTCTGAATTCCAAATTCCGTATTCCGAATTCAATATTCTGTATTCTGAATTCCGTATTCCGAATGCCATATTCACTATTCCGAATTCTGTATTCAAATTTCGAATTCCAAATTCCGTATTTCAACTTCTGCATTCCATATTCCAAAGTCCATATTCCGTATTCAAAATTCCATTCCATGTTCCGAATTCCGTATTCCATATTCTGAATTCCAAATTCCATTTTCCGAATTCCATATTACAAATTCCATATTCTGTATTCCAAATTGCACATTCCAAATACCATGTTCCGAATCCTGTATTCCAAATTCTTAGTTAGCATTTCTTCCAGCTATTTATACTGACCGCAGAAAGGGGGAGGTGTTTTGTAGTCCTTGTCTAGGGTGACAAGACTTCATGTAGTATTAAACTCTCAATCTTTTTTTCAATAATCAATCCAGATCAAACAAATATACATTGCCCAGCATAGTGTTTCTTTACATTCTAGCCCAAGCACTTACAGTCATCAGGTTCTGAACAACTGTGTCAAAGCTCTCACAGCTCAGCTTCCCTGAACCTCCTGTCCAGTACAAAATCACAAGCGACAGCAGTTTCCATCAGTTCTCCGTGCAGCTTGAAAAAGGGAGGAAGGAGGAGTGGGGAGCAGGGAGAAGGTGAATGGCTTGCTGTGCTGTGCCTGTGTGTTTGTTCAGACACACACAGCTTACTAGCACACAGGGTGGCTCCTTAGGACTCTGCAAATGAAAGGAGTCACCCTAAATCAGGATATCAGGGCCAGTGCTCAGGGAACCAGCTTATTCTGCAGGAAACAAAACCTTTTAAACATCAAGAAGCAGCATCCATTGTAGGTGATTTAATTGGGATTTGAAATAGCTTACAAACCTTCTTCCTCTAATATCACTTTCAATACAGTGAGTGAAAGTTGTCACCCTAGGACAGAAGTGTGTTACTGGTGGGATCACCAGGTGAAAATAATAGAAAAAAAGCCTGATAAAAGAAAACAAATCCAACTACCAGATCTAATGACGTGTGAGCTACAATATAAAGCATTTGTTTGTTTTTGGTTTAGATACACTTTAAGCAGGCGACTTTTCCTTTTTGGATATTTGTACTAGTTTGATAAGTTTAACTACTTTATTGTCCCACTTGGACGCAAACGTTGTGGTAATCGCGAACTTCCTGGATTGGCTGACGGGCACCTTCAGACCAGCCGCAAGCTAAAACACTCCACAAACACTGTTTATATAGTGCAGCTGGCATCCACTGGGTGTCAGGGATGCCTTGTGTTATTATTCAAGGCACTGCTACACAAGGTAGTGTTTGCTTTTCTTTTTAGCTTTATTCGCAGTGTACAAACTGTACACTCCATTCAAAACTTCCACACAGCAGCATAGTGTGCTATGCCATGGTGCGGTGACCTCCAGTGCCATGTAGTGTGTTGCAGAAATATACAGTCTGTCTACATTTTTCTGCACAGCAATGTGGTGTGAACAGGGAACATAGAAAACAATACTTTTTATGTGTCCTAGCTGTGACCTGCATGCAGAAAAACGCAGATAACTGCTTTATGAATGAACGGGCCCTTACTCCTCTACCCCCCAAAAAACAATGTTACAATTTAATTAGGTATTTCATGTCTCTCAAAACTTCTGCAGTCAGCTGAAGCACCAAATGTGTGTCCAAAGAACCAGATGAAACTGTAAAAAAATATCTTGTAAGCATGTTTAGTTGTAATTCACTTTTTTCTTTACATGGAAACAATGTTCTTTTCATATAATCATATAAAATAAACAATGGCCAGTTGTAAACATAAGCTTGGTACATACCAGACTTTTCTCTAGTGAAGCTGCATCCTGTTGTAAACTCAGAGAACTGTTGTGTGATGACTGAGGAGAGGTCTGTGAATATTGTTGAAATGGTTGAAATGCAGCATGTGAGATTTTGTTTAAAATGTCATAATGAGGTAGAAGCAAGTAATAGAAAGGAGATAAGAACAGGGAGGGATAAAGGGAACTAGAGAAGCACAGGACGAAAATAAGACATCATGAACACTGTATGTACTCATGGTTATAATACCGTGTTTCCCCGAAAATAAGACAGTGTCTTATTTTTTTTCTTGCACTAAATAAGACACTATGTAAAGCACAAAAGCTGTTGCAGGATTTAGAAACTGCCCAGCAGAAATGCCCCTCCCCGGATATCTTCTACAAATGATGACAATGTCACAGCATTAGCAACCCTTTCAACCCCATAGTGACACAGCTTCAGAAAATGTTTTCGTTACTGGGGACCGGAGCAATTTTGCCATTTTTGCTATGTGTTTGTTTAACCATAATTCTCATCCTCCTCATTCATTGCACCTACACATAATATATACATTTTGTAAAGGACAAAATGGGCTTTGATGTGATGTGACATATGCATATATAAGTTCCTATTTTTTTGTTTATAAAAAACGTTCAAGAAAATGAAAAAAAACAAAACACATTCTTCACAGTTTTGGCAATAATAATGTGTACATAATTAGTGCAGCTAACAGAAAGTAATTCATAATAAATTATTTTATTTGTCCTGATTTATAGGGTGTATCATATGTCTGGGATTTCAGTTTACTTTGGGAGTTATAGGTCACAAAATACAAGGAGTGAAATATAATTTTAGAATGCGACATGTTTGTCTCCTATCTTTAACAGCCTCCACAGCACTATATTTACCTATAATTTTTTCATTTAAATTTACTTTTTTTAAACATTTTTGCAATTTTAAAACTTTTTTGCATTTTTTAAAATTTTTGTTTATCCTGGGGGTTCAGATTTAAGGACTTGTTTACACCATCAGCCGCGCTCAACCGCATGCTTCTGTGCGTGTGCCCATACAGTGCTGATGCGCTCGATCATGTCTCATCGCACCATTTCTTTTTTTTTTGTTAGAACTTTATTGAAATGTCATAAGTGACATTTCATTAAGTCCTATGGGCTCACCGCAGTGTGATGTGGTTGCACAGTGTCTCACTGTGGTGTGCTTAAAAAAACACATAGCACATATAACAAGGCATATTGCCTTGTCTTGCATTCAGGCTGCACTGGAAAGAACGGCCAGCACAGCCAGAACGCAGATGGTGTGAATGAACCCTCAGGCATGGAACTTGCTGCCCTCCTTCCTGTCTATAAATTTGCCATTCCATGAAATGAAACCACCTTTACATAAAAATAATAGACTGCAGCTAAATATGTCTACTTTAATGAAAAGCTTGGAAATGGCATGAACACATGTAAAATCAGTTTATAACTTACCTGCTCCAACCGCGGAGACTGCATTATCTCTCCATCATTTTGTAAATCACTTTCTCCTGTGACTGCATCAATATCTTGAAGAGAATATGCATCACTGATGTTCAAGCTTTCCTGTAATAATATAGAAACCAGTATGGTAAACCTTAAAAGAAAATGTTCGTCTAGATCAGGGCTCAAAATTTCAAGTCCTGAGCTACTAGCCAGGCCGAAAGAGTTACTAGCCACCCAGCGACGTATTTAACTTTGCTGCTGGCATGGCTGTGCAAACGCCTTGTTTGCCTCGCGGCAGATACGCCCCTGTAGCCACCCGTTGCCCCACCTAACCCCTACCCTGCCCCTGCCTTAACTCCGCCACTAAACACACCCTCTTAAATAATCTTATGATAATTCTTATTTTATGATAGTTGCCGCTTGTAAACGGCAGATTAGGGATCCCTGCTGCAGGAAAACGCAAGTTCCTGAAACAGGAATCTCTAATCACACCTGAAATATACTGTAGGTGTGAATGGGGCCTAATATACACATACACTAAAGGTGCCCATACACCTGCTGGTGATCCCGCGATCGTACGATAATCGGCAGGTGTATGGTCAGCGTGCTTCTACTGTGAGGTCCTACGACTTTCGTCTTCCAAGCACGCTGAAAAACTTGCCGAAAATCCTATGATTTTTGGCGGGTTAGTGGCGTGCTCGGAAGACGAATACCGCACGGGCTGATGTGCGCAAGCGCACACTGCCCGCTCAGCACTGCAATCACCGGAAGCCCGGATTGCAAGTACTATCTGCCTGTCCAAGATGGACAGGCAGATCACCCCCTGGTTATCTGGGGGTGATTAGTGAGTTCTGCAGCAGACCTCACTAATCACCCCCAGATAACCAGGGATCGATCCTCCTCACATACATCCTTTCTTTCGGCCGGAGCTCAGAACTGTCAGAGCTCCGGCCGAAGGAAGCCGGAGCTGACAGGAGCTGCTCTGCGGTCTGCATCCGACACAGATGCAGACCGTGGAGCTGCTCCCGCAAGTCAGGTACGCAGTTTGTGACCGTGTGCCTGACATGTCAGCTGGCTGCAGGCCACATAGTACCGGCTCGCCCTCACTTTATTTTTACTCGCCTTATGCGAGCAGGCGAGTGGAAATTTTGAGCCCTGGTCTAGATAATAATAGGAAGTGATGATGCAGGCTAAGTCATTTAAAAATATGTCAAAGGAGCACAAACTAATAATTCCACCTATTTATACTTCATCATTGTCACACGAGACACAAATTCCCTTTTCTCAGGGAATTAGGCAATAACAAACTTATTTATTGATAATATACACAAAGAAAAATAAGCAAATGAGAATTCATGTACTGTGCCTGACAACAGTAAACATAAATCGTATTGTTGTTATGGGTAATTACACTTTCAGCACAGTCATAAACTACATCATGCACAAATGTAGTAAAGCTGAGCTCCTGGCAGTATAGATTAATTACCCTTTTATTTAGTTATGTATTCTTTAAAATCCTAAATATTATTTATTACTACTAATGCTTTTATATTCCCATACAGTTTGGCGAACGCAAGAACTTTGTGGGATGTTCGTGGTCTGTTCAACTGCGCAACATCCCACAAGGCAATGCGCCTTCTGAAGCTCTAATTGGGTAAAGGCTTGCACCTGACTACAGGTCAGGTGCAAGACTTTACCCAATCAGGGCTCAGCACTCTGTTTGAGCCATGATTGGGCAAAGTCGTGATGACTTTGCCCAATCATGGCTCACCTGTCATATGACGTCAAACTACACAATTAGGCGGAGCTAGATGTCACCCCTAGCTCTACCCAATTGTTTATGTTTTGCCGCCATCTATCAAAATGCCATTATGTGGCGGGAGTCCGCGGGGAGAGGACGGGACGGCAATCGTAGGTTTTAAAAAAAATTATTATTTCTATTTATTTTTTATTGTTTTATTTTTATTCTGTCTCGTCGTCCTTGTCGTCATAGTCGGTGGATCAATTTTTGGGGTTTAAAAACAAAACAAAACATCTTTTTGGTTTCTTTCCAAATAAAGGATTTTATCAAAAGTCTGGACTTTTTAATAACTATTTTATTTAACTCTTTAGTAATTGGGTAGAGGTACAAGTACCCCTTACTCATTCACAAGGGGGGCAGCATCTGGGTGCCCCCTTAATTAACTGGGTACCCTGATGCAAATAAGCCCCTCTCCCCGCAGACCCCCACAACCACCGTGTCAGGGTTGTGGGGAAGAGGCCCTTGTCCCCATCGGCACGGAGACACCCTCCCAATGCCGAGGGAGTGTGGCCTGGTGTGGCGGAGGGAGGGGGGGGGTCGCTCGCTCGTCCCCCCTCTTTCCGGCCCTGCCAGGCCTATGCCCCCCCATTTTTGGGCGTGTGGTTCCTCCTTAAAATTCCTACCAGACCTTAAGGGCCTGGTATGACTTTAAGGGGGAACCCCCACACACTTTTTTTTTTCTTCTTTTTTTTTACATGGGGACCCTCCTCAATATTCCTACCAGACCTGGTATTGTTTGGGAGGTGGAATTGCATACTTTAAGAGTAAACAAAAAAACAGGCACGATATTTGAAGGAATTTTTCTTTTTTTATTGTTACCCTTTAAGTGATGTTAAAATCACTGCTCCTTTAAAAACGGGTTTTGTTTTTTCACCCCTATTGATTCCTGTCCCCTAGTGCAGTGCCCAGACCCCCATACACCTTTTATGGCCAATAACTTGCATATAAGACCTCTTAAAGGGGACAATCGTTTTTGAAAGTTCTACCCCCATTGACTTGCATTGAGTTCGAGTTCAAACTTTTCGGCCGTTCGAATGTTTGAATACGAACCGAACTTGGGCCTGTTCGGCACATCACTAATTACCAACAAAAGATCTTGTACAACAGCAATGCCAGGGTGAAAAAGTACTTATCGGGAAGCCTTTGCTCCCTGTATGCATCTAAAGGTTTAATTTTCAATCCTGACTGGAGTATAGCGCTACGATTGCTCACCTGGCTGTTCATTGTAGCAGAAGTGTCTGTAGACCTGGCCTCCAACTTGCGGAATTCTTTACTGGTCCCAGTATTTGTTTCCCTCTCCACATCACTCTCCACCTCCTTCTTGTTCACTTTTCTTGCTTCTCTTTCCTCACTGGGATTCTCATGAATCTCTTCGGCAACAGACTGCTGATCAAATACCTAGCAAAAAAAGTTGTTGTTTTTTTAGTGTGTTTAAGCATTGTAGATATTGCAAGTACACAACTACTGTATAGTAGCATACAAAAGAAAAATAAAGGTTAAAATACCTAATGTACATTTTCACACATATAGGCATGGTTCACAAAATTGAAGTAATCACCAGAGGTACAAATGGACAACCTTATTGATTTGCTGGCCTACTCAAACATTCACCTCTTTGGATTAGTACTGTTGGAGGGAAAGTAAATATATATTAGGGATGCACCGATACTGGTTTTTCGAGATCGAGTAAGAGTACTGGGGTGCGTACAGTCGGTCAGCTGTATGAGGATAATACCCTCATAGACTTACCCAACTATTTATTTTGCACAGGACCTACCATACCCCTGAGTTTCTGTTCAAAATAGGTGCCAAGATTGACCCTTCTTGTCCAAAATGTGGTTTTCACCAAGGATCCTTGATACACTTATTTTGGAGATGTCCCAAATTGGTCTGATATTGGGGTGCAGTGCTTAAGGTTATTAATTCTGTCTTCGGTATATTGTTAGATAACACACCCAGAGTCTGCATACTTGCAATTTTTGATATCCCTTGGAGGGATTTCATACCTCAAATTGGCTATACAAAGAGCCTTATTTACCGCTAGGAGACAAGGAAATGGTGGTAAGGAAATGGATATCCACCATCCCTCCCTCATTATCTGAATGGATCTCTCAGTTAGATAAAACTGTAATGTTTGAACACATTACCTATCAATATATATATATATATATA